CACCCAGCAGAAGCTTTTTAAAGTTTGTCACTTGCAATCCTGTAGGGTAGTGGGCAGCATGCTGGAAAAGATGACCTGTGGCAGTGATTGGGAATCTGGGACCCAGGCTGCCTGAATGTTTTAGTTAGTCCTCTGCTTCCCTATGATTTGAGGTTTTGATTTCATCAGGCATCTCTCTAAGGAGAAGAAAGGAAGTTGCTTTTAGTGACCATCATTTCCTTGTCTTAGTGTGACACTACTTCTCAATCACAAACACTGAAACTAGGTTGGAGCATTTGTAGGTGATACTGTTGTGAGTGATACTGTTTACTTTGGTATTCTTGAAGTCACTCTCTGCAGAGTATCTGATGCAACAAATTTGCCTTGCTTGGCAATTCCTAACACAGCCATCATATTCCAACCCTGGATATCTTTCTCTCTTTTGTTTTTTTTTGAGATGGAGTTTCACTCTTGTTGCCAAGGCTGGAGTGCAATGGCGCGATCTTGGCTCATCGCAACCTCCACCTTCAAGCGAGTCTCCTGCCTCAGGCTCCCGAGTAGCTGGGATTACAGGCATGCATGCGCCACCACGCCTGGCTAATTTTGTAATTTCAGTAGAGATCGGGTTTTCCATGGTGGTCAGGATGGTCTCAAACTCCCGAGTTTGAGGTGATCCACCTGCCTTGGCCTCCCAAAGTGCTAGGATTACAGGCATGAGCCACTGCAACCCTGGATATCTCTTACTAGCTTTGGAGCTATCTACCAGAAAGAGAATTACAGAAACATCCTCTCACCTGCTTGGCTCTTGAGACCAGACATATTTCTTTAGGAAGACAGGTGGCCTTTCTCCAACTTGCTATACTACACATCATGGGGCCTGTATTAGTCCATTCTCATACTGTATTAAAGAAATACCTGCAACTAAAGAAAAGAGGTTCAGTTGGCTCGTGGTTCTGAAGGCCCTATGGTTAGCCTGGCTGCGGAGGCCTCAGGAGACTTTCAGTTGTGGCAGAAGAGGAAGCAGGCATGTCTTCACATAGCTGGAGTAGGATCGAGGCAAGGGGGAGGCGCTACATACTTTAAACAACCAGATCTCATGAGAACTCACAGCAAGGAGGAAATCCACCTCCACTATCCAGTCACCTCTTACCAGGTCCCTTCTTCAACACTGGGGATTACAACTCAACATGATATTTGATGGGGACACAAATGCAAACCATATGAGGAACTATGAGAGGAGACAAGAAGTGGGAAGTGACCACTGCAGAGATATGAGATCTGGAACCCCTTAGTCAGAGAGAAGAGAATCCACTCTACTCTAGTACCTGCCCGGATGTGGTATTGAACACTTTGTCTGGGAGCAGGCCACTTGCAGCTTCAGAGGAGGGTAGATGTGTATCCTTGACCTCCCTCTTCCTCTTTTGGATTAAAAGCCAAGCCCGCTGGGTGTTGGGCTACTTGTGTTCATGGGTTTGGCACTGACGGCTCATGTGGTGTGATGTAGCAAGGCAAACATTGAGCAGTGTTTGAAAAGGAAGTGTTGTGAGTGCCTGCGGCTATAACGGAGAGTGGGATTGGCGGTGGTGTTGATGAGAAGGCGGTGATGTGCTCTTAGGCCTTTATCCACAAAGGGCCTTGATATAAACAAGGAGGAGTGTTTCCAACCTGGCTTTTGTCTTCTACCTAGAGATGAGAGATAATGGAGGCGATGGAGTCTAAATATATGTGTTTCATTCCATTTAATAGGCATTGTAGACTCAGATGGATTTGAGTTTTAATCTAGGCACCGCTACTGATTGGTTATTTAAATAGAAAAGTTACTTTTCTGAGTCTTGGATTCATCAGTAAACTGATTGTAAGGTTTTTTTTAGGATTAAATGAGATAATATGGATAAAATGCCTAGCATGGCACCAGACATTCATTAGGTGTCCACACCAAGTGTCGGTTTGTTTCCCCTTCATTTACTATGCTTTTGCAGTTTACTCAGCAGAATATTGAGCACTGCCTGTGTGTCAGTCACTGTGTGGGGGGATCAGCTGGAGTAGAACGTGCTCCTTGCTCCGAGTCTGACCAGTTACTTCGTTATTGAAGCTAACGTTTTATGAGCATTGATTGTGGCATGCACAGAGGTGAAGCATCCTATTCACACTCAGGAGTCGGGAAAGGCTCCTGATTTTTTTAAGTTAGGTGAAGAAGAAGGAAGGGCTCCAGAGACCAGCACTTGTAAGGGAATGATGATCTAAGATAGCTTGATGCTCATGGGAATCAATAGTGGGGCTGTTTTTCCAGGGTAGCAGACTGAGTTTTCATTTCCATAGGCATTCTCCTACCATTTGGTATGTCTGTTGTGTTGCACTGGTGGGGCAAGATGTGGATTCCCGAAAACGGATGAAATGAGGGGATCGTGAATATGTCGAGTGTATGTAATACACATGCATGCATGCGTGTAGTCTTGTAAAGTGATCGGCAGGATCTGACTTTTCCCTTCATCTCTATGCTTCTCTACCATAAGTGCATGCCGTAATTGTTCCCAGCACGGTATTTCGATAGTTCGGACTTGTGTGGTGGTCCATTTTCTGTCACCTCATTTTGAGGTAACTGGCCTCAAAATCTAGTTTTAGCATTTATGCTGTTTTTAAGCGCACTATCATTTTGAATATTGGCAGTGCTCCGTTGTAATTTTTTTTGTACTCTCCTTGAGAAAGAGTCCATGTAGGTCAGCCTTTGCAGTAAAGAGGGCGACATCCGTGGCTTCTGCTGTGTGTTTGTTGGTTTTCATTTGGATGATGAATGTAAACAGGAATCTTAGGTCTTCCTTGGCCATTACTCTGTTAATCAGAATACAAGGTGCTCTTCCCATTTTGGTGTTTTAAATACAACTTAAGAAAAATAAAACCCTCTCTCCTACGCTGGGTTCAGTGGTTCATGCTTATAATCCCAGTTTATTGGGAGGCTGAGATGGAAGGATCACTTGAGGTCAGGAGTCGAGACCAGCCTGGGCAGCATAGTGAGATACTCCCACTCCCTATCTTAACAAAAAAATAAAAGAATTAGCCTGGTGTGGTGGTGCATGCCTGTAGTCCCAGCTACTTGGGAGGCTGAAGGGGGATTTGAGCTCAGGAGTCCAAGGCTGCAGTGAGCCATGTTTGCACCACTACATTCCAGTTTGGGTAACAGAGCAGGACCCTATCTCAAAACAAAACAAAACCTCTCTGCTAATTCCTTCCCTTTAGCTACTCTGAAAACACTTGATGAGAAAGAATATCAGGATTCCATTCAGAATTATCCCAGACAAATGACTTAAAAAAAAAAAACATGAAGGAGAGGTTCTGATGTCACCCAGGCTGGCCTGGAATGCATAGCCTTGTCTCCTCAAGCGCCAGGACAGCTGGCCTGAGGCACTGCGGACAGGGCTCTGTCACCCAGGCTGGAGTGCAGTGGTGCTGCTTCGCCTTGCTGTACCCTCTACCTTCTGTGCTTAAAGTTTCTCATGCCTCAGCTTCCCAAGTAGCTGGGACCACAGGCATGCACCGCCACCACACCTGGCTGATTTTTGTATTTTTTGTAGGGGTTTTGCCATGTTTCCCAGTCTGGTCTCAAACTCCTGAGTTCAAGTGATCTGCCTGCCTTGGCCTCCCAAAGTGCTGGGATTACAGGTGTGAGCCACTGCGCCTGGCCACGAATGACTACTTACAGTTTTTGTTATTTTCCCCCCGGATGCTGCCATGAAAGTAGGCCCACCGTTCCCTACAGTTGTGAAAATTGGAGAATATTTTGTGAATTTGATTTAGAAAGTGAGAGACCATGCTGAGCAGACAGTTTGAGACCCAGAAGGCTGGCTTAGAGGTTTTGTATTAAAGGAAACACTGATTGAGAAGATGTAAGAGATAGGCTCTCCCTCCCTGAGATCAGCCCAAACTTAAGCCTGGGCTTTGGAGGAAAGAAAGCTTATCTCTTCTTCTAACCTCTCTCTGCTCCCTGAACTCTCCTGTCCCAGTATGGCTGCTGGAAATAAAGTCACTTTAAGTAAAAATAATTCTGGCATTGAGTTCAATTTTCTTTCTTCTTTTTCCTACCAACACAGAGGATGGAATTTAAGTCTGTGTAGTTAGCAAGAGATGAAATTGCTGTCTTAGCTCCAGAATAAACTCCAGGGTCAGCAAGAGAATTCTGTTCTCCTGTCTGAACTTGTCCTACTTAATCATGAAAAGCAGACTAAATCAGAGGCAGCTGAGTTGATTTAGGGAGCAGTAGATGTAAAATGAGTTTTTCAGATCGGGTTATTGTTTTTTTTTTTTTTTTTTTTGAGATGGGGTCTCACTCTGTTGCCCAGGCTGGAGTACAGTGGCACCATCTGGGCTCACTGCAACCTCTGCCTCCCAGGCTCAAGTGATCCTCCCACCTCGGCCTCCTCAGTAGCTGGGACAACAGGTGGATGCCACCATACCTAGCTAATTTATTTGTAGTGACAGGGTTTTGCCGTGTTGGCCAGGTTAGTCTTGAACTCCTGGGCTCAAGCTGGGATTATAGGTGTGAGCTGCCGCACCTGGCCTCAGATAATCTTTAATCTTTCAGAATTCAGGGATGAGGAGGAAGATATTGACTGCTCTCTCTCACTTCAGATTTGCTATAATCCTAGCCACACTGGTTTTGCTGAGGGAAGGTAGCCCCCGTCATTGAAAGCTGTGGGCAGTGAGACAGAAAGGTGCATCTTTTTTTTGGAGAAAGAGGAAAGCTTTCTAAGTGAGAGAGTGGGGGATCATGAGCAGCCTCACAGTGGTAGTGGCACCTCAGTGTCTTAGTCTTTGATGAAGCCAGCTTTTATCACATGAGGGCAGTAAGAAGACCACTGAAAATTCCCTGGAAATCTAGTATTCTTCTCCCAGGGCCCCAAATGATGACCAAGACTGGTTGCCCAAAAATGCTGAAGTGGGACTGTACTGCTTCCCTGAGGACTGCTGTGGCATGGTGTCTGTCCTCCTGGCGCCGTAACATTTCCTGTCATTTTTCTCCCCTTCAGACTGACAGACTTCAGGATGCAGCTGCTACTGCTGGAGGTGTGTGGCACCTTACCTGAGCCAGACCATGAGACCATGTGGCCATGATGTGGGCCCCTCATGGCCTCAGCAGGAACAGAGCACTACAGTATTGGCCTCCGCCAGAGAAACAGCTTCAAGCAGAGTGGTCCCCCAGGCGCAGTGCCTGCCGCGCCACCTGAGAAACCCTCTGAGGGCAAAGTCTGGTCTCAGGCCCATCAGCAAGTGAAGCCAATCTGGAAGCTGGAGAAGAAGCACGTGGAGACACTGTCTGCAGGGTTGGGCCCAGGTCTCCTGGGCATCCCCCACAAGCCAGCATATTTCTTTTGCCCCAGCACTTTATGTAGCTCTGGGACCACGGCTGTCATTGCAGGCCATAGGAGTTCCTGTTACCTACACTGTCTCCCAGACTTGTTCAACAGCACCCTGCTATACCGCCGCTCCAGCTATCGGCACAAACCGTACCAGCAACTGGAGTCTTTTTGCTTGCGTTCAAGCCCATCAGAAAAAAGCCCTTTTTCTCTCCCTCAAAAGAGCCTCCCTGTCAGTCTCACTGCCAATAAGGCCACTTCTTCCATGGTCTTCCCCATGGCCCAGCCCATGGCCTCCTCATCCACAGAACCGTACCTCTCCTTGGCCGCGGCTGGGGAAAACCCTTCAGGGAGGAGCCTGGCCTTTGCCATCTCAGGAAAGATCTCATCTCCACTGTCTTCCTCCTGTAAGCCCATGCTGAATAATAATTCCTTCATGCGGCCAAATAGCACGAAAGTGCCTTTATCACAGACCACAGAGGGCCTGAAGCCAGTATCCTCACCCAAGGTCCAGCCCATCTCTTGGCATCATTCAGGGGGTACTGGAGACTGTGTACTGCAGCCTGTTGACCATAAGGTGCCCAAAAGCATTGGCACTTTCCTAGCTGATGCCAATGCCCGTATCGCCTTGTCTACCCCTAGCTCTGATGACACATCTGCCACCAGTGTTGCCTCTTCCTGGTATAACCGGAATAACTTAGCCATGAGGGCAGAGCCACATTCCCATGTTCTGGATGACAGCTCTGATTCCCAGGCTCCAACTAAAGAGATTCGGTTCACTGAGGCCGTGAGGAAGTTGACCGCAAGAGGCTTTGAGAAGATGCCAAGGCAAGGCTGCCAGTTTGAACAGTCTAGTTTCCTGAACCCCACCTTTCAGTGGAACCTCAGCAGGAGCAGGCGGTGGAAAACTCCTGCGGTCAATCGGCAGTTTCTTCAGGAGGATGCTGGATCAGTCAGTGGGGTCCTCCCTGGTTCCTCGGATACCTTGGGTTTGGACAATACAGTCTTCTGTACCAAACGTATCAGCATTCACCTCCTTGCCTCACATGCCAGTGGGCTCAATCACAGCCCTGCCTGTGAATCTGTAATTGACCCCCCAGCATTTGGAGAAGGCAAAGCTCCAGGTCCCCCTTCTCTTCAAACCCTTGGCCTAGCCAATGTGGCCAGCCGCCTCTCTTCCATCCAGCTGGGCCAGTCTGAGAAGGAGAGACCTGAAGAGGCCAGGGAGCTGGACTCATCTGGTAGGGATAGTAGGTAAGTTGGAGAATGTTTTTGCTTCATTTGGAGCAGTAGAATGGATATACCATAATTTGGGGTGGCACTGACCCTGTACCTCTGAAAGCTGGCTTTGTTTTTTAGCCCTAGAATTTTTGGTTTTCACTTCAGGGCAAGGGTTGGGAAACTATAGCTTACAGACCAAATCTTGCTTGTTGCCTGCTTTTGTAAATAAAGCGTTATTGGAATGCAGCCATGTCCACTGATTTACAGTTGTCTGTGGCTGCTTTCTTGTTACAGTGGTAGAGCTGAGTAGTTGTGACAAACTGGCCTGCAAACGAAAATATGTACTCTGTGGTCCTTTAGAGAAAAGTTTGCCAACCCCAATTTTAAGTGAAAACCATGAGAGAAATAAGAATTATGAACACCAAATATTGAAGCCTGTGACTTTCCTACTTTTTCCAAACCAAATCAGGTTCTCAGTCATTCTTGGCATGACAGCCATTTATAGTTAGGAGATACACATAGTTGGCTCCTTCTCTTGTGTTTGGTTATTTTCCGGGAAACTTGATCCACTAAGGCTTTCTTCTGAGTTCCCAGAGAGTGGCCTAGGGACATTTCCAGTCAATTACCAGATATCCATTCATGATTTTTTGGATGTAGAATTTTTGTACTTACATGCTATGAGGGACATCAAGGAAAATGGAAGACATAGTGCCTTTTTGCAGAATGGAAAATGTAAGGTTGAGGAGCTATGCCTAGACCTAAGCTTTGAAGACAAGAGAAATGAGTTGTGAGGTCCAGGCAAGAGGTAGCAGACTGGTAACGGAGAAGGGACAAATACTGGGAGCCGATGAAGGATTGAGAATCTGACTGTGACCTCTTTGATGGAGTTGACTAGGCTAGGGTCATGATTCTTTCTTTTAGTTCAGCTACTGACCTCCAGGCAGACCAGACTGAGACTGAAGATACAGAAGAAGAACTAGTAGATGGTTTGGAAGACTGTTGTAGCCATGATGAGAATGAAGAGGAGGAGGGTGAGTAGGGAACCCTTTTACTTCAAACTAGGAGTTGGTTATGACCTGGGTGGGCAGGGGACTAACAGTTGTATACTAGGTCCTTGACTCACATTACCTACATCTTTCATTTGTTTTGAGGGTCTTAAGGGGGTAGTGCCTTCTAGAGGACTTTGGTCTCTAGTCCGCCTGTCCCCCTGGTCTCACCTTCTCCCTGCTTCTGTTGAGGAAGGCAGTGCAAGGCCACAGAGTGGTGCTTGTGGCTCCCCAAGAAGGGTTGAGCCTAAGATATTCAAGGAGGAGCTGCCCAGGCTTGGTGAGTTTGTGCTGCAGCCTCTTCTAGTTAGAATTCCTCTGTTTTTCCTTCCCCTAGGAGACTCAGAGTGCTCCTCATTAAGTGCAGTCTCCCGCGGCGAATCAGTGGCCATGATCTCTCGGTAAGTGTGGCTTTATAGCTCATTGTTAGATGCTCATCTTTTGTCTCTTCAAGATTATAAAGAGATTAACCACCCAAGTCATTAATGACCTGGAGGACTCTAATGCATTTTAACCAAATTTTTATGTTTATGACTTTAGTTTTTGAATGGGAAGTAATGGGGGGTGGCCAGAAGCACATCTCATCACTGTGGCTTAAAAACAGTATCATGGAGGCCGGACGTGGTGGCTCATGCCTGTAATCCCAGCACTTCAGGAGGCCGAGGTGGGTGGATCATGAGGTGAAGAGATTGAGACCATCCTGGCCAACATGGTAAAACCCCGCCTCTACTCAAAATATAAAAAATTAGCCGGACATGGTGGCACATGTCTGTAATCCTAGCTATCTGGGAGGCTGAGACAGGAGAATCACTTGAACCCAGGAGGCAGAGGTTGCAGTGAGCCGAGAATGCACCATTGCACTCCAGCCTGGGCAACAAGAGCGAAACTCTGTCTCAAAAAAGAAAAAACCCAGTATCATGGGCCAGGCGTGGTGGCTCACGCCTGTAATCCCAGCACTTTCGGAGGCTGAGGTGGGCTGATCACCTGAGATTAGGAGTTCGAGAACAGCCTGGCCAACATGGTGAAACCCTATCTCTACTAAAAATATAAAAATTAGCAGTGTGGTGGTGTATGCCTGTAATCCCAGCCGCTTGGGAGACACTGAGGGATGAGAATCACTTGAACCTGGGAGGCAGAGGTTGCAGTGAGCCAAGATCATGCTGCTGCACTCCAGCCTCGGTGACTGAGTGAGACTCTATCTCAAAAACAAAACAACAACAACAACAAAAAACAGTATCATGGGCTGGGCGAAGTGGCTTAATGCCTGTGATCCTAACACTTTGGGAGGCTAAGATGGGTAGATCACTTGAGGCCAGGAGTTAGAGACCAGGCTGGCCAACATGGTGAAACTCCATCTCTACTAAAAATAGAAACAATTAGCTGGGTGTGGTGGCACATGCCTGTTATCCTTGGCCTCCCAAGGATTGTGCCACCACACCCAGCCACTGCAGCTGGCCCTAATTTTTAATTAAAACCTAGCTGCAGGCCGGGCATGGTAGCTCACGCCTGTAATCCCAGCACTTTGGGTGGCCAAGGCAGGCCGATCACCTGAAGTCAGGAGTTTGAGACCAGCCTGACCAACATGATGAAATCCCATCTCTACTAAATACAAAAAATTATCTAGGCATGGTGGTACATGCTGTAGTCCCAGCTATGTGGGAGGCTGAGGCAGGAGAATTGCTTGAACCTGGGAGGTGGAGGTTGCAGTGAACGCAGATTGCACCATTGCACTCCAACCTGGGCAACGAGAGTGAAACTCTGTCTCAAACAAAAACAAAAACCCAACAAACAAAAAACCTAGCTGTATATCATTAGGCTTGACCAACATATGGAGCTCCCAGAGTTGGGTTGCTTCTCTATGCATCAACCTTCTTTAGATGAAGCTAAGAAGAAAGGGAGCCTTCTCTGCCTTGTCTAGTATGGACAAGACAGGCTGCATCTTTGTGAAATGTGATGGTGTGGCAGCTGCACTCCAGTTTTAGAGCCCCTAATCTGTAAGGTGGAGGCAGAGCCGTTTGGAAAGTGAGAGAAAGAACTGGGATTCTCTGTGAAGGTAGATAGAAATCCCATCACAGGTACCTTGAATCTGATGCATAAATTTTCACTTTGAGCCTAGCCCATCCTCCTTCCAGAAAAGCAAAATGACTTCAGGTTATGTATGTTGGATGTTAATTAAGTACCTCCACTCTTCAGAAGAGAAAGATATTTGACATGTAATTGATTTGGAGTCCTACCTTTTCTACACTTAAGGACCTACTTCAGGGCAGCTACATAGCCCTTAAGCCTTCCTGATATATAAGATGAAAATCATAAAACATATTTGTGAATCATTTGCTCAATAATTAATTAGCTTCTACAAATTACACATAACTTCTTATCTGTATGAGGCTTAAACATAATTTTCAAGAAAATGGAAATATAGTTTTTCATTTTTTAGAATCAGAGGCTTGTTCTGTTGCCCAGGCTAGAGTACAGTGGCTCCATCATAGCTTACTATAACCTCAAACTCCTGGGCTCAAGCAGTTCTTTGGCCTCAGCCTCCTGAGCAGCTGGGACTACAGGACCATCCACCACACCCAGCTAATTAAAAAAATTTTTTTATAGAGTTGTGGGGGAAGGTCTCATTATATTACCTAGGCTGGTCTTGAACTCTGGTCTCAAGTGATCCTTCTGCTTCAGCCTCCCGAAGCACTGAGATTACAGGTGTGAGCCACTGCACCGGACCAAAAATGGAGATAGATAAATTCCAAATCACTTTGTGTTTTAAAGATGACTAAAATAAAATACTTTTGGATTGCTAACATATTATTTTTTCTCTATTATGAAAGATTTGTGTATTTATTATGGAAAATTTGGCAACCACAGAAAAATCATTGGAAATGCTACCTGTTTCTTTACACAGCAATACTCTTTTTTTGAGATGGAGTCTCACTCAGTTGCCAGGCTAGAGTGCAGTGGCACAATCTTGGCTCACTGCAACCTGCAACTCTGGTTCAAGCCATTCTCCTGCCTCAGCCTCCTGAGTAGCTGGGATTAAAGACATGCGCCACCACGCCGAGCTAATTTTTGTGTGTGTGTGTTTTTAGTTGAGACAGGGTTTCACCATGTTGGTCAGGCTGGTCTCGATCTCCTGACCTCATGATCCACCCGCCTTGGCCTTCCAAAGTGCTGGGATGGATTACAGGCATGAGCCACCGTGCCCAGCTTACACACCAATACTTTCATTGCGTTTCCTGTTGTGCTCTAAGAATCATGTAATTTTAGAGATGGAAACCATCAAGTCCAGTGTAAGTATTGAGGACCAGAGAAGTGAAGTAGCTGTTGCAAGGTTATAGTTTCTAGCACAGCTAGACTAGAAGCCAGGTCTCTTGAGAAGTTCAGGACTCTTGTGAGACAATTCACAAGGGTTTTTTTGTTTTTGTTTTTTTTAATTAAGCTTGTGATTTTGAGATAATTATAGATTTCACATGCAGTTGTAAGAAGGAATGCAGAGAGATCCCCTGTACTCTACTCAGTTTCCCCCACTGGTTAATATTTTGCTGAAGTACAATATCGTATGATTGAGATATTGTTAACATTGTTAGAGTCAAGATATAGAACATTTTGCCCGGCACAGTGGCTCATGCCTGTAATCCCAACACTTTGGGAGGCTAAGGTGGGTGGATCACCGGAAGTCAGGAGTTTGAGACCAGCCTGGTCAACATGGTGAAACCCTGTCTTTACTAAAAATACAAAAATTAACGGGTGTGATGGTGGGCCCCTATAATCCCAGCTACTTGGGAGGCTGAGGCAGGAGAATCACTTGAACTTGGGAGGCGGAGGTTGCAGTGAGCCAAGATCGCACCACTGCACTCCAGCCTGAATGACAAGAGCAAGACTCTGTCTCAAAGAAAAAGAGAACATTTTCATCACTGTAAGAATTTCTCCTTCTGCTACCCCTGAAGCTACACCTCCTTCCCTCCTGCTCCCATCCCCTCCTTAACATCCTGGCAACCACTGCTTCTCCTTTTTGTCATTTCAAGGATGTTATACAGATAGAATGACAGCAGTATGTAACCTTTGGGCATTGATGTTTTTTTCACTCAGCATATTCATTGCAGATTGACCTGGGTTGTTGTACGTATTAATAGTTCTCATTCTTTTTTATTGCTGGATAGTGTTCCAGGGTGTGAATGTACCACAGTTTGTTTAACCGTACACCTGTTGAAGGATATTCAGGTTGTTTTCAGCTTTTGGCTCTTATGAATAAAGCTGCTGTAAATAATCATGTACATATTTTTGTGTGAATATAAGTCTTCATTTCTCTGGGATAAATGCCCAGGAGGAGTGCAATTGCTAGGTCGTATGGTGGTTGCATGTTTCGTTTCTTAAGAAACTGCCAAAACTGTTTTCCAGAGTGGCTGTACCACTCTGGAAAACACTTTTATGCTTCTATCTTCTATTTTATGCTTCTATCTTTGTTTTTAAATTTTAAGTCTTTCTTACTGATTTTCAGCAGTCTCAAATTTTCAAATTCAGTAAACCAAAAGCCTTTGAAGAAAAAGTTCTGAAAATGAGGAATAGAGTTGAATGAATTGGAATTTTTTCATTGGGTATTAGTATTTAACTTGATTCAATAAAATTCACTAAAAATCTTTAAGATTTAAAACACTGAAGTGTTTCACATGCAGTGCCTATTTCTGTTGTGCTGAAAATAGGTCAAATGGCTTTTTTTAAGCTAACAATGTTATGATAATAATATTTGTGGATCATATAATCTAAGTTGTAAAGAGTAACAGCGATTTTCTCCATTTTTCAGTGCTAGTTAAAGGAATGATCTGGGTCTGTCAGCTTCCTGACAGGTAGTTGATATGTTTGCCATGTTAACACCCCTTAGACAGCCTTGGCCATGCCCTTCTTGGAGTAACAGCAGGGACCCCTGTGGCCTACTGCCCCAGATCAGCTACATCTCTTCATCACATCCAGATCTGTGTTCCCGTACTGTTAAATAAAAAGTGTCACAAATCACTTCCAAAATGGAGAAAAGCACTAACCGTCCAAGAATCTTTAGATGAACCTAAATATAGAATGAGCTGGAGGTACCACTGTTTCTTTTCTTTCTGTTGCTTTTCCCCTTTTCTATCTAAAAGTCTGTACCTCAGCTCTCTTTTGGTTTTCCTCCTTCATAATTTTCACATCATTCATTTCTCTCATTTGTTTCTTCGTCTTAGCATAGCACATTCCTCTAGCATCCACCCACACTCATTTCCCAATCTCAGAACCACTCCTTTCAGGGACTTTCCCAGCCAGTGTCTTGTCACAGGAAATTTTGGAGCTGTATTGCAGAATGAAGTATTGGAAAACCTTGTCTTTAGGTGACCTTTGATGATGTGGCTATATGTAGATTAGCTTAGCATCTTATAGATTAATATGTGTAAAATAATTATTAATGATTGAGCACCTGGCTTTTTAGAATCACAAGTTCAAAGACAGCACCTGGAAAGAAATTGTATGTAATAGCAACGACACTTCGGGCTGTTGCTTTCTCTTTCTCTACTCCATGTTTGTTTTTCGATCTTAGAAGCTGTATGGAAATTCTGACCAAACCCCTTTCCAATCATGAGAAAGTTGTCCGACCAGCCCTCGTCTACAGTCTCTTTCCCAACGTTCCCCCTACCATCTATTTTGGCACTCGGGATGAGAGAGGTAAACCTGGCCAAGTGTCAAAGCGCAGAAGAGTCCCTGGGAGAAGGATGCTAGCTAAGTTGGGAGGAGGTGGCAGAAGGTGGAAGAGGGTTTCCAGAATGGCGGTTGTGGCAATTGTCACAATGTGTCCAGTTCCCGACCTGGTCTTAGGTCTAATTTTTCTTATCTGTCCTTTAGCTGACCCTTCTCAGCCTTGCAATGTCACGCTTAGTTCATGCTCTCCAACCTTGTTGCTTTTCCCTTGTAGTCTCCCCTTTCTTGGTTCCTCATTCCTGCACAGCCCCTCTTCTTTCCCAAAGTGTGCTCCTCTGAAACACTGATCTGGAGCAATAGTTAGTGACTTGCCTGCCAAGGGAAAAATGGGTGGCCATGCCATCTTTTTTGTCTTCTCACCATGACTCTCTGCTCCTCTCCACCCCCCATCCCCACACCCTTTGCATTCTTCCCAGTGGAGAAACTTCCCTGGGAGCAGAGGAAGTTGCTCCGATGGAAGATGAGCACAGTGACCCCCAACATTGTTAAGCAGACCATTGGACGGTCCCACTTTAAAATCAGCAAAAGTGAGTTGCTTGCCTTACTGTGAGCCTGTCCTTTTTGCCCCAAATAGATGGGCTTTGCGTAGGGGGAGCACTCTAGACACCTCGTGCCTGTGTGGGGGCAGCTGGGCCCCTCTCCTGAAATCCAACCTCAGGGGAGGGAACAGCTCTGAAATGCTTCTGGGCTGAGCCTGTGGTTGAGAATTGAGACACAGAGGGCCATTGTTCTATCCCTAGCCCCAGGGCCTCATGTAGGACAGCTCCGTAGCAACTCTTTGAAAACCAGGTCTGGGAGCTCTGCCCAGTTCTGGGGCCTCTGGGCCTCTGTGTCCCAGGACTGAGCTGTTAGCAAGGCTGATTCTCTACTGTACCTCCTATAGGAAACGATGACTGGCTGGGCTGCTGGGGACACCACATGAAGTCTCCTAGTTTCCGATCCATTCGAGAGCATCAGAAGGTAGGGGCCCTTTCTGAGGAGCTGTTTCCCTGGACTTTGGACTAGGCCAAGAGGAGGGTGATGTTGTGGGTAGGGGTAGGGGGTGGGAAGAGGATGATGACCGTGGGGAAGTCAGGAAGGTGTACAGAGGAGAAAGTACAGGACGAGGGTACAGTGAGAGACTCCAGTGGCTCATGAACATCTCCAATTCAGCTGCAGTATCTTGGGCAGTTGTAGCTTCTCAAAGATGCTTTTTCCTCTGATGTGTTTTGAGTTGCATTGTCTGTTTTCTCTTTATTATGTTTCCCTATGACCACTGCACATTCCATTCCCCCCAAATTGAGTATGTGTAAAGAGGACTTCTGGTCTCATGTTGGAATGAATGAGTCCCTTGCCCCCAGACTTACTAAAGGCTAAATGCTTTTCTCTCCTCATTTCCTCATCCCATAGGCTTTCATGGAAAAAGATGTATTAGCTTTTTCTTTGCACTTAAGGTGAATAACTTGTCTGTCTTAGTCGTTAGCGTTTTGTCTGTGTTTTAACCACCTTTTGATGAGTGCTCGGCAGTTGGATACTTAAGGACCATTAGGGTAGTGACAGTAAGATGGAACAAAAGCTTGGAGTGCTGCTAAAGAAGCTGGAATGGTAGTGAGTCTTGTCATCTTCCTCATGGCCTCACCTCTGCCCTCTTCCTGCACTCACCCTTTTCCCTTTTGTAGCTAAACCATTTCCCAGGCTCATTCCAGATTGGGAGAAAGGACCGGCTATGGCGGAACCTGTCACGCATGCAGAGCCGCTTTGGCAAAAAGGAGTTCAGTTTCTTCCCCCAGTCCTTCATCCTGCCCCAGGATGCCAAGCTCCTGCGCAAAGCGTGGGAGAGCAGCAGCCGCCAAAAGTGGATTGTGAAGCCAGTGAGTGAATCACAGTTACCAGGAGACTATGGTCTGTGAGTGGGAACAATAGAGCATTGGACCTGGAGCAAATCTTACCTATTTTCTACTCCTAGCCAGCATCAGCCCGAGGCATTGGCATCCAGGTTATTCACAAGTGGAGTCAGCTCCCCAAGCGAAGGCCCCTCCTGGTACAGAGGTGAGCCTGTAGCACAGCCCTTAGCCCATCCTCCCACCTCCTTGGCCTTGAGGTTCCCTTTTTACAGTATTCTTCTGCCCTTTGTTCTCCCAGCCAAAGAGCTTCCTTAGCCAACTGTTCTAAGCAGACCGGATAAAGATAAAAATAAAGACCATTCTAAGGTCTTTATCTTGGGGATTGTTAGCTAGCTTTTTTCTGTGCCTTGGTTATCCACTGAGCCCCATCATCTGGCTGGATGAGAAGCTGGCCTTTGTCCTATGTAGGTATCTACACAAACCCTACCTCATCAGCGGCAGCAAGTTTGACCTGCGGATCTATGTTTACGTCACTTCCTATGATCCTCTGCGGATTTACCTCTTTTCAGATGGACTGGTCCGCTTTGCCAGTTGCAAGTATGTTACAGTGGTGAGGTATCCTCTGACAATATTGGGGATTTTATTTTCCTCCGAGGGAGGAAACTAGAGGACGTCAAACAGAAAAAAATAACAAATGTTTTGATAGTTTTTGTTAGCAAGGGGGAAGTCAGGAAATGGGAAATAAGGAGGCTCTCTACTTCATGAAATCAGAGGAGGATCTTCCTGCATGCAGGACTGAGGTGGGAAAAAGGAGATGAATTTAGCTGTGGTTTTTCAGAACTTTGCCAGTAGACAGACACACTTCTCAGGTCCTTGTGGCTATGAAAAGATCACTTGTTCTTCACCTCTTCAGGATTTGGGAGAATGTTTGGCCTCTTCTCCGTCTGCTCTGTCATCATCTTACCCCTGCCTTTTGTTTCCTTCCAGGTATTCCCCTTCCATGAAGAGTCTTGGCAATAAGTTCATGCACCTGACCAACTACAGTGTCAATAAGAAGAATGCCGAGTACCAGGCCAATGCAGATGAAATGGCTTGCCAGGGCCACAAATGGTACTGAGGACAGAGTGTCCCAGTCCAGTTTTAGGGGCATGGTGAATGGAGGATTAATATAAGACCCAGAGATTATATAAACACTTACCAATTCAGAATTGGTCTATTTAAGGCTGGGCACGATGGCTCACACCTGTAATCCTAGCACTTTGGGAGGCCAAGGTAGGTGGATCGCCTGAGGTCAGGGGTTTGAGACCAGCCTGGCCAAGGTGGCGAAACCCTGTCTCTACTAAAAATACAAAAATTAGCCAGGTGTGGTGGTGGACACCTATAATTCCAGCTGCTTGGGAGGCTGAGGCAGGAGAATCACTCGAACCCGGGGAGTGGAGGTTGCAGTGAGCTGAGATCGTGCCACTTCACTCCAGCCTGGGTGAAAGAGTAAAACTCCGACTCAAAAAAAAAAGTTGGTCTATTTGCATTCAAGTTCATCTCTTTCATAACTGAAAATGGCAAAGGAAGAGATAGATATCAAGAAAATACCTTTAGGTCTCTTGTTCCTTACTCTTTGTCACTCATTCCTAGAATATAATTGCTAATACTTCCTCTTCCTTCATCTACAGGGCACTGAAGGCTTTGTGGAACTACCTGAGCCAGAAGGGAGTCAATAGTGATGCCATCTGGGAGAAGATAAAAGATGTTGTTGTCAAAACCATCATCTCGTGAGTCACATTGCCAACCCGGCTGTGGGGCCTGCTGCTGACCCCCTCCTTCTTCCTGGGCCTCACACTGCTGTGCTTTGGACTCTGGCCATGCTGTGGTTCGGTTTTAAGGAAAGGGACTAGGAAGGAATAGCTAGAGTTGAGTTCTCATCTGCTGAACTTCATCCCCAGGAGCTGGTCCCAGATCAGATGCGTCTCTTGAGAGCTGCCTTTCCTGGGTGGCTTCTGCCTGCCTATCTCTGGGCCACTCTTTTGGCAGGAGAGCTCTTGGTAGAGTCCCCTGGGAGCTGAAATGAGTACTTCCTCATCCCCATGACCAGGTCAGAGCCCTACGTGACCAGCCTGCTCAAGATGTATGTGCGGCGGCCCTATAGCTGCCATGAGCTCTTTGGTTTTGACATCATGCTAGACGAAAACCTCAAGCCCTGGGTCCTGGAAGTCAACATTTCCCCAAGGTAGGTGGTATTCTCAGGACACTCATGATAGAATCCTTCCATTATCCTCATGCTCCCATTGCCACTCAGTAAGTTGTTCTTTTTAATGGATCCTTACCACTGGCTTTCCTTTAGCAGATCAAGGTCATGGGCAGGTTTACCACCCTGAGTGAGGTTATTCACTGTTTTGGGGGCAAGAAACTCTTGTGATGGTGATTCTGTACTGGGATGTTTGAGCAGCTTTCATCCTAGGGAAGCCAGGAAGTAAAAGGCCAGCCCTGAGTTGCACATATGACCAAAGACTGTTTTGGAGTGCTGCTTTGACCGCTCTTTTTATTTTTTTTCTGAAGTCTCCACTCCAGCTCTCCACTGGACATCAGCATCAAAGGCCAGATGATTCGTGACCTTCTGAACCTGGCTGGTTTTGTCCTGCCCAATGTAGAGGATGTCATTTCCAGCCCCAGCAGCTGCAGCAGCTCCACCACCAGGTTAGGCCCTTGTTTCTTTGCAGCTCTGCTGGCAGCATGAATAGCCCTGCTGTAATTTCTGGGAAGGAGTGGGTTCTGGGTGCTCCCTCCGGCCTGGTTCCCTTTGCTGTTCAATCTTGCCCCTGTAGTCCACTCCTATGCTACTTACTGCACCACACCATTGCCTCTTAAGTATGTTCAGTTATGTCCACCCCTGCTCAGGAACCACAGGCCTAGGAATCACATTTAAACTTCTTAGACACTGTGGTGTGTGTCTCTAGTCCCAGCTACTTGGGAGACTGAAGCAGGGGGATCTCTTAAGGCCAGATGTTCAAAGCTATAGTGCACTATGGTGATCAGGCCTGTGAATAGCCACTGTACTCTTATCTAGCCTGGGCATTGTAGCAAGAAAAAAAAAATAACTCCTTACCAGGGCAGTCAGGGTCCCAGCTTTCTTTTTCTTGGTGTATCTCTGTCTTCTTTCTCCCCTGGCTCCTGCGCCCTGACAAACTGCATCACTCACGCAACCTCAAGGTCGGAATGATCCTTAAGGACAATTAGTCCAGTCTCCTCTCTGAAATGTTCATTGCCTCTTGCTATTCCCCATAGTGTTCGTTCCTTTGCTTATGGGGTTTCTTCCTCCTGAAATGCCCCACCGCCAATCCTGCCATTAACCTCACCTGTTCATCAAAGTCTAGTTCAGCTCAGTATGGCCTTTTTTTTTCTCCATACCGTAAAGTGTTTGGAACCACTCTTGAAAGGAAGGAGTTTGTATTTAGTTAGTACCTGAGATGTGTGAGGAGAACCCTTTAACTTATCCTTCCAATAACCCTGTAAAGTTAGTATTCATACCTGCAGTTTACAGAGGAGGAAACGGAAGTTCTCTGGGATTAGGTAGCCCATCAGGGTCATTCAGTTAGAGAGTAGTAGGACTGGAATTCAAATCCTGACTTGCCTGATAACAAAACTTGCTTTCCCCACTGCACCTTGTAGACTTACGTCTGGCTATGTCAAGTGGTTGTCATTTGACATATCCCACCTGCCATACCGTAAGCTCCTTGAAGGCAGGGGTTGATTTTTAGTCATCTCTATTTTGCTATTACTCATTTTTTAGAGACAGTCTGTGTTGCCCAGGCTGGCTTTGAACACCTGGGCTCAAGTGATCCTCACGCCTCAGCCTCCCAGGTAGCTGGGATGACTAGTGTGCACCACCATGCTGGGCTCCAGTCATCTTTGTATCTCTCTCAACAGTGATTATGGTAATTGTAGTAACGTGGGTGACGAAACTGGGATGAGGGGAGGTTGAGTCAGTTGCCCAGGGTCACGCAGCCAGTAGGGCAGAGCTGGGTATATAGTTTAAGTGTTCGGTGAATTAAACTAAACTGAAATATATACCACTATAAGGCTTATTGCAAGGTCCTCATTTTTTATCATTCATATTCATTCTAAAGATGGTGGTTTGTATTCTTTCACTTAATATTTGATGACTCTCAGACAGGTTACTTCTGGGAAGTGCATTTTAGTCCGACCTACTACTTAAGTATCCTCTGTTCATACGTCTTTGTCTTCCCTTGAGGAGGGTGTCTGCTGGGCTGGACCTTCTCCATATTTCCTCCAAATGCAAAGCTGCTGATCCTGCCCTTTGCTTTCTTTCCGGCCTCTGCTGTAGCCTGCCCACCTCCCCCGGGTACAAATGTCGAATGGCTCCAGAGCATTTCACTGCACAGAAGATGAAGAAAGCCTATTATCTGACCCAGAAAATTCCTGATCAGGTAGGAGATTGGTCTTCCTCCCAATGATAGCAGAGGACTTTGCTGGTCAAACATTTAGGACCCAAAAGCAACCAGGTTTTATTTGGAGGAGGGTTTCTTCATTCAGGCCTGTGATCTTCTGATATGCGGAGATTTGTTAGCATGGCTGGTTGTCTTTAGCATGTTTTCTGGTCCTCTCGTCCCAACTGTAGACTTACCCTTTGGGTTTCTTTCTCTGAGAAGTACAATGAGAGACCCCAAGAAGCTGACTTTCTCAGAGCAGATAAGGGAGCCGGATTTAAGCTTGGCAGGTAGAAGACTGGTGCCAAATCTGAATTGCTGGATCCTCGTTTATTCAACAAACTACTTAATGTCTCAGCTCCAGTGGCTCCCTCGACCCCAAACAAGAGTGTCTTCTCCCACTATCTAAGTTCAGTAGACTTAGGAACAGATGGCGTTCAGAGCTGGCCCACTAGGCTACCATCGGGAGTTCCAGGAGTGTCCTGGAGCGGTAGGACCCCAAGGGTGTGCTCCCTGCCCCCCAGCTTCTTGATTCCCTGCCCCTGGCTAACACTCTCTGTCACACCCTTTTCCTCTCTGTTCCTTGGACCACAGGACTTCTATGCATCTGTGCTGGATGTCCTGACACCAGATGATGTTCGGATTCTGGTCGAGATGGAAGATGAATTTTCTCGCCGTGGTCAGTTTGAACGAATTTTTCCTTCTCATGTCTCCTCTCGTTATCTCCGCTTTTTTGAGCAACCACGATATTTCAACATTCTTACCACCCAATGGGAACAGAAATACCATGGCAACAAGCTCAAAGGTGATGTGCCGTCCCTGCCCTCAGAAAGCCATGTTTAGTGAGAGATTAAATCTCAGTATACCAAGAAAGGGGCCTCTCTGGAAAGAAGAATTGGCCAATTGATTCTACCTTCTTAAGCCCCAACTCCTGCTAATCTTGTCCTAGGAGTAGATCTGCTCCGGAGTTGGTGCTACAAAGGGTTCCACATGGGAGTTGTCTCTGATTCTGCTCCAGTGGTGAGTGCTGCCAGTGTTGAGGACAGCTCCTTCTCAGGCCCCTCCTCCTCTGCCTTACGCATGCAGCAGGAGTTGGGTTGTATATATAGGCCTCTCTCACTTCTCTGCTAGGCTCTGCTTCTGTCTCACCACTCTTTCCTTTCAAGGGAATAGTTGCCTCCAGGATTCCTTGGGTACCTTTCTTTCAAGGATCAAAAAGTGCTTTGTAGGCCTCAACTTCTTGTCTGATTCAGAAGAGAACTGAGACTTTTACCCACCTGGGCCCATGTCTGAGGGGTAGGGAAGAGGAGAGCCCCTTAGATCACTTAGAGGGTCCCAAGACCCCAAACACTCCTGCCTTGCCTCCACCAAGCCCTTTGGGTCTCATTGCTTCCTTTGCTCTTAGTGGTCTCTCCCGACATCACTTCCAACTGTCTCAAAGGATGACCTGATACTCAATGCCTTCAGCAGATCAGAGACTAGCAAGCTGGGGTGAGTGCTGCCTGGGCAAGGGAGGGGCTTCTGGCTATGAGTTTGGAGAGTTTTCTTCCTTCCTCTCTTCCCAGACTGTGGCAGTGAAATCAGCATTCTCCAGCAGGGGGTTGGTGGGAGTGTCAGGATGTTTGTCCTTTTTCTGGTAGCTTTTGGGATGAGCAGTGAAGCTGAGCTGGAGGACAGAAGTGCCTCTGGACGCGGCCATTGTCAGCCATACCCACTTGCTGTGGGAAGTCCTTAGCCCTCTATCCACACCGCCATTTACTCAAGCCTTCAAGTAAATAATGTTTTGTGTGGTTATTACATATCCATGTAATTATGGCCTCTAACACCATAATGTGAATGCCTGCTCCAGACTCTGAAGCAAATCCTAAGGTAAAGTCTCAGTTAAACAGTGTCTCAGCCATTTCTTTCCCCACCTGTTCCCTCCAGAAAACACAGCTCCTGCGAAGGAAGTCTGCTACTCACTGAAGATGGGACCACACCCAAGTCCAAGAAGACCCAGGCTGGCCTTTCCCCTTATCCCCAGAAACCAAGTTCCTCAAAGGACAGTGGGGACACCAGCAAAGAGCCCAGCCTTTCCACCCCGACATTACCTGTGATCAGGTACTCTGGGCGGACCTCAAGACTTGCTGCTCCTTCCACTTTGCAGTCAGCCAGTGACTCCCTCCTGGCTGTGAGCCCATGATTGGCCTCTCTCCACAAGCCTCTGCCCAGGAGTATGGGCATCAGCTACCTCACGGGAACTGGCCTGCTGACCAGCCTGAACCCCTTCCCGCTTCACCCTGTCCCTCCTCAGAGTATTTTTTTGAAGTGATTGCATTATAGAGATGAGTCTGTGTAGGACCAGAGGGGTGGTGGTGATGGGGAGAAGGGGAGGTAGGGTCACCCTCTGTCACCTGTCTGCCTGGCTGGCACCTCATATCTCAGCAGAGAAGCCACTAATGGCCACGCAGCCTTATAAAGCAGGTTTTGGTTTCTACCTTAAGTGAGCCATGTGGTTTGTTTGGAGCCTTGGTGCAGTTGCTGAGTTGTACCTCAAGGGGAGAAAACATACAGAACATATATGGGCCAGAAGTCCTTTGTTCTGAATTGGAGGGGGCCTTCTGAGGTCCTCATTTCCTTAGGTCTTCCCTCACCCCTCCCACCCCCTGTCCTGAGGAGAAAGCTTTGAACTTCCTCAGTAGACAGGCAGAGAGGCCACAGCATGCCGAAGCCATTTTCTGTCATCCCAGTCTTGGATCCTAGCCACCCAAGACAAGGATCTTGGCCTACAAAGGCCCAAGATGCCTATTTGAAGACATCTTTACCTCCTCCTTCCAAATACCCACCTTGCCAGCAGCCCTAGGTCTTCCTGTTCTGAACCCCCATCACTGCTTGTTCAGCCTTCTGACATCTCTCTCGTGGACGGCTCCTCCTTAGCTATGAGGTGTAAGAGGGTTTGTGAACTTCGTGAATTTCCCATGGCCCCAGTGAAGGAGCCCAGATAATCCCAGTAGCTGTTACCTGTCTCCACGTATCAAAGGACACAGTCCAGGGAGAGGGCAGAAGTGGTTGAGGTTTCTCTACAATCCAGCAAACATGGTTTCTCATGTTCTGCCCTACAGCAAGCAGGGTCTGGTGGCTTGGCAGGTAGGTTTCAGGAGCGGTCACTATTGTAGGATGGGCTTCCAATGAGACTTCAGACTAAATTGTACTCAACTGATTCTACCTTCCTTCTCTAGACTCAGTAAACAGTGAGTATTCAGTAAATGTTGACTGAGTGAACTGTATTTACAGAGATCTCAAAGGACCCCCAGCACTTGAATCAGAAGTTCTACTTCTCTCATCTGGGGATGAGAAAGTGGAGCCTTGGGGCAGAACAGGTGGAAGAGTTTGAATCAGAAAGGTTTCCTCTGGGGCTGTGCTCCTTCCTAACCCAGCACACTTCCTGGTTGCTGCTTGCCTTCTCCCCAGCCCCTGCAGTCCCTTTACATAGTTTTTTTTTCAGCAGTGGCACATATAAGAAACCAAATGGTCCCATGTCCCTGCTACTCAAGTTTTCTCTTTGCATATCAGGCAGAAAGCTCAGCTACTTGGTCTCGCCCTGGACCGTAGCTGCCCTAATTCTCTCTGAGCTTTAGAAAGACAGAGACTCCCATGTTTCATGGCTCTTGGAGCTCTGTGGCAAGTTGGGGTGGAGCCCTGGAAAGATCACTGAGAGGCCTGGCTGGGTTCAAGGCCACAGAGTAGGTGGTGTCTGGTCAGTCCTAAGGCCATGTTGACAGTTGTGAAGAAAGTTTGGTGGCAAAGTCCTGGGCATCATTGGCTGCTCAATAATAACTTTAAAGTCGGGCCATAATGGGAGAGGTCCTTGATAGTCCTATTGGATCTTTTCTGATGTAATTGAAGTGGCCCAGCTCTTCAGTCCTCTGGCTGCAGTATTCTAGTGCAGACATGACACAGGACATCTGCTGCCTTCCTAAGAGAAAATGAGCCGCCTGCCTGGCAGCTTTGTTGTGGCTGGGCCTTCTCCGCAAGGACTTAGGCATGGAGGCCTGTTTGAGCTGGTTTACTCCATGAAAACCAACGTCTTTGGCTTGTCCTCTGAGAATCTTGTACAACACAGCCAGTCTATTTCCATTCCCGTAACTGGAGAGGGAAGCAGCATTGCTGAATGAGGGTACTGGGGAAGCATGGTGGGGGAAGGGAGAAGGACTTAGGAAATGAAGTCCTTATGATCAATGAAAGTCCTAAATGGGCAATGGAAAGACAGTGCTTTAGTAGTTTAAAACATGTTTGTACATTAATAAATTGCCATCACATTTGAGTATCTGATAGATGTGGGGGTTTTGCTGGGTAGGAGAAAGGAATGGGACTTACTGTATCACATTTACCTTTCGTTCTTTTTTTTTATATAGAGATCGGGTTTCACCTTGTTAGCCAGGATGGTCTTGATCTCCTGACCTCATGATCTGCCCACCTCTGCCTCCCAAAGTGCTGGGATTACAGGCTTAAGCCACCGTGCCTGGCCACCTTTCACTCTTGAGAGAAAATTAAATCTTATTAAGTGTTCGGCATATGTACGTTTGCATTGAATACTCGCCATATGAGGTAGTCAGCTAAGCAGGCGTTTTTGAGAAGGAATGAGTTTTTTTGGAAAGTTAAATTTGGGAGTATAGTAGAATACGTATTTGTCAGAGCATGTCAATTGCTTTCCTAAGTTGATAACTTACCTAGTCTATTTGGAGGAAGGGAAGCGAGTGTTCTGAGACAAAGGATGAAGTGCAGGATATTTCTAGAGTAGTGGAGTAAGGTCTTGGGGTGGGAAGTGGAGGAGGGCAGTCACTGCTGACTTCACATCCACTTAGGAATGAGGAAAAACTCAGTTCCTTAGAACAAATACTAATGAAGAGATGGCATTGTGTCAGGAAAGGATAGGAACCTTGAATCAGGCTGACCTTGGGTTTAAATCCCAGTTCTGCCACTTACTGTGTGACCTTGAGTGTGTCATCTAACTTTTAAGTCTCCATATCTTCGTAGTATGAACATAATACCTGCATTGCAGGGTTGTGAATATTTAGACCAAAGGTAGTAAAAGTACTTAGGACATAGAGGGCACTTTACATAGACACACCTTCCTCCACTTGCTGTCCAAGCCTTGTGCCCTGGGTGGGAAGAGACAGCCAAGAAATGTAAAGCCCTTTACTACAGGAAGTGGAGCTGCCATTGAGATGTTTTAGAAGTGAAGATGCCAGAACAGGGTCTAGATAGCTCATGGTCCTCATCCTTACCCCAGTGCACACACAAACATCATCATTATTCAGCCTCCTGTTACATTACCACTCTACTGGGGATTTATTTCTTTGGCTAAACACTTTACAGTCAGAGCACGGATCCCTGAGAAAGGAAGCACAGTAAGCATTAGAAGTATGTGAACTGAGTGAGATTATTAAATTATTTCAAGAGCAGCTTTGAAAAGAAAGGGAGAGCAAGCACAGTGGGTGTCAGGTGTCTGGAAAGGGGAGGAGCAGGGTACAGAAAGTAAGAGACCCTGATTGGAACTAGAGCCAAAGAGCAAATATGTAGACCTAACAGCTGTACCAAGGGGTAGTTGTCATTACAGGTACATTCTCTTGGTGTCAGGCTGTTTGGCTGAGGGTGGCTATCCCCCCGTCCCCCTAGCTAAAGGACATACCTGATGGCTTCTGGGACAATCCAGCACTGCTGAGGGCCCGTGAAGGAGCTTGATCATCTGGATACAAAGACCTTTCTACTTCCTCCTCAGCTGAATTACTTACCCAAGATAGGTGACCAACAAAGGCAGCCAGGGGATCTCCTCTCCTGGCCTCCCCTTGATTTTTAAGATTAAGGCTTACCTCTGATTGCTGTTCAGATCCCCCAACTGCTTTGAGACTTGGAAACACTGATGGTTTTCAGATGGCTAAGGGAGCTCCATTTCATGTCACCTGAGACTATGACCAAGTCTTTTCCAACCTTTCTTGGCCTTTTAGAGTCCCCCTGTAGCAGAGTTTGCACACTGATTAATATCCAGGGATCTATACCATCTCGTTTGGCTTGCCCCTTCACTAACTTTGGATCAGCGAAAGTTGCCAACAGTCATATGTTGCTCTTGGCAGATGTTTCACCGATGAAAGAACACAAGAAGGGTCAATAGCAGGTGGTGGTTTTCTAAAACCCATCTTTGTCGTAATTATAATAGATTGAGATACATGGAATGTCAGGGATTGCCACAGCAAAGCTAACAAAATTTTGAAAAGATACTTAATCTAAGTTTTGATTAGTAAACTGGGGACACCAAAGCCTACCTCATAGAATAGTTATGGGACTACAGTACGGGGGAAAGCACCTAACAAGGTGCCTGATAATATATGATAGAGATTTAAAATAGCAGATTCTAAAACTGACCAAAACTACCACCAAAAGCATTTAAAGTAAAAATATTTTAACATGCAACAGTATTACAATACGATTACAATAGCATGTTAATATTATAAAACTATGGTAAAATATACTTTGATTTTATCCATGAATTAAAGCTGAGGATGTACTGAGATAATTAGCTTAGACAGATTAAAACCCCTATCATTAGTAGTCAGAGAAGAGCAATTTAAACTGCAAGATACCACTTAACACTAAAGTGTCTCAAATTTGAGACTGAAAATACCAAGTGTCAGTATGATACTGAGATACTGTGAAGCCGCCGATGGGAATGCCAAATGGTGCACTGGAAAGCAGCTTGGTAGTTTCTTATAAAGTGAAACATGTCGTTAACATAGGACCTAGCACTTCCACTCTTGCAGGCAAGTGTTCATAGCAGCTTATTAATAGTAGCCGAAGCTTAGAAACAACTGTATGTCCAACACATCGTGAATTAACGAATTGTGTTATTTCTGCTCAATGGAATGCTCATAGATACGAAAAAGGAAAAGTTCGAGTGCTGTGGCTCACACCTGTAATCCCAACACTTTGTGAAGCCAAGGCGGGAGGATCACTTGAGCCCAGGAGTTCAAGACCAGCCTAGGCCAACACAGTGGGACCCTATTTCTACAAAACAAATAATATAAATAAAAAAGGAATAAATTGATTCATGTAATGCCATGCATGAATCTAAACATATTCCCAAGCAAGAAGAGGTCAGAAACAGAAGACTGCATGCTTTATTATCCCATAATGATCTGGAAAACGCAAACTATAGTCACAGAAAGCAGATGAGTGCTTCCATGGACTATAGATGAGGGAGGGGTAGACTGTAAAGGGCACGGTGGGAAGATTCTGTATCTTGATTGTGGAGGTGGATACATGACTATATACAGTTGCTGGAACTCATCATATTGTGCACTTAGAACTGGTGAGTAGTAGTGTATGTAAGTAAATAAAGCTGATTTAAAAGAAAAAGACCAGGAGATGCCATTTCGTGAGGCATGTGCTAATTAAAACCACAATGAGATAACATTAGAATAGTTAAAAGTGCAGCCAAGACCAAGTGTTGGTGAGGATGTACAGCAACTGGGCCTTTTATACATGGCTGGCACAAGTGTAAAATGGTTCAACCACCATAGAACACTCACGATTTCTTAGAAAGCTAACATATATCTACCTATGACTCAGAAATTCCACTCCCCGGTATTCTCTTAAAAAGCTGGAAAAAAAGGATATCACATGTTTACCAAAAATGTTTTTTGAGGCTTAATTCATAATAACAAATAATTGAGAATAATCCGAATGTTTGTCAAGAGATTAGATAGACTGGTGTGGAATACCACCCAATAATAAAAAGGAACATCCAGCAGTATGTTAGAAGGAAAAAAAGGAACAAACTACTGATTTATGATCTCAAAAGCATTGAGTGAAAGAAGTCAGACACAAAGAGGACAAACTGTGGAATTAAGTTGATATGATGCTTAGGAACAGGGGAACCTAACCTGTGGGAACAAGTCAGAACATTAGTTGCCTCTGGGCATTAATAGTATAGTAAGAAAAGAGGCACAAGGCAGCTTTCGGAGGTGATGGAAATGCTCTTAATTCTTGATTTGGGCATTGGTTACATGGGTGATGGATTTGTAGGAGCTCAAGGAATTGCACACTTAAGCCCCAAATCGAGTTGTTGACAGGTTTGGTGCCTTCTGAGGGCTGTGAGAGAGACGCTGTTGCAGGCTTCTCTCCAAGCTTCAGGTTGTCTGCTGGCAATCTTCAGCATTCCTTGGCTTGTACTAACATCACCCAGTCTCTGCCTTCGTGTTCACATGGCATTCTCCATGTGTATGTCTCTACAATTTTTCCTTTTTGTAAGGGCACTAGTCACATTGGAATAGGAGCCCACTCTACTCCAATATGACCTCATCTTTACTAACTACATCTACAATGACCTTATTCCCAAATAATGTCACATTCTGAGGTGCTGGGGGTGAGCACTTCAGCATATGAATTTGTGGGAGAAGGGGTAGGGCACCACAGATTATAATACCTAGAGGAGAGTTCCCAGCTTGCATCAACTACTAATAACACTATGGCAGCCGGGCTCAGTGGCTCACACCTGTAATGGCAGCACTTTGGGAGGCCAAGTGGGGGTTGGTCACCTGAGGTTAGGAGTTCGAGACCAACCTGGCCAACATGATGAAACCCTGTCTGTTCTATAAATATAAAAATTAGTTGGGCATGGTGGTGGGCACCTGTAATCCCAGCTACTCAGGAGACAGTAAGGAAAATCGCTTGAACCTGGGAGATGGAGGTTGCAGTGAGCCGAGACCGTACAGTTGCACTCCAGCCCAGACAACAAGAGTGAAACTCCGTCTCAGAATAAATAAATAATAAATAATGCTATGGCAGTGGCATTATCAGTCTTGTGTGCAGCCCTCTGGATTAATCCTGATAACCATTGGAATGCCTGGTATATTTAGTATTGGAAAGACTGTTCAATTGACATCCCAAATCTGGATGCTCTTTGGCAGAGGAAAATAAATTTTAAGACACATCTCTCTTGTTGAGAAACTAACTCAAGTCAGGATTCTAGAGCTTGGTAAATGCCAGATACCTCAACAATTATGCCTGAGATAAACATCACTAAGTCCACTTGCCTCTACCAGAAGATAAAAGGCCCAAATCCATGGAGATAAAATAACTTTTTTCTAATTCCATCTCTTTCCTAGACAAATGGCCTTTCTAATGAGCTGTAATTAACAAATCAGAATCATTGACACTAAGAATTTCTCATCATGGCTGGGCATGGTGGCTCACACCTGTAATCCCAGCTCTTGGGAGGCTAAAATGGATCACTTGAGGCCAGGAATTTGAAAACAGCCTGGGTAACATAGACCCTGTCTCTACAAAAAGAAATTTGCCTGGCATGGCACATGCCTGTAGTTGCTGCTACTCAGGAGGCTGAGGTGGGAAGATCCCTTGAGCCCAGGAGTTCAAGGCTGCCAGGAGATCGGTCCGCTGCTCTCCAGGCTGGACAAGAGCAAGAGCCTGTCTCAAAAAAAAAAAAAAAAAATCTCATGATACATTTCAGAAGAGAAATTATAGTCATTGGGACAGGTATTACGCATATTTTATTAAATAACTGAGTGCAGTTCCTCTACAGTGGGTGCTGGAACAAAACAATAACTATCATCTATTGAGTTTTATTCACACACTGTTCTCAGTGTAAACATACACTCGTCCTTACAAAAAAACCCTTTAATGTTGGGATTATTATCCCTATTTTACAGATTAAGAAAATGAGGTTCAAAGGGGTTAGATGACATGTCCAAGGTTACGGAATGAACAAATGCATTGGCCGGGCGCGGTGGCTCACGCCTATAATCCCAGCACTTTGGGAGGCTGAGGCGGGTGGATCACGAGGTCAAGAGATCGAGACCATCCTGGTCAACAAGGTGAAACCCCGTCTCTACTAAAAATACAAAAATTAGCTGGGCATGGTGGCACGCGCCTGTAGTCCCAGCTACTTAGGAGGCTGAGGCAGGAGAATTGCTTGAATCCAGGAGGCGAGGTGAGCTGAGATCGTGCCATTGCACTCCAGTCTGGGTAACAACAGTGAAACTCCGTCTCAACAAAACAAAACAAAAACAAAAACAAAAAAACAAATATATCTGCCACCTCATTTCCTACTACTTTGTAGAAGTTGCTGGCTTCAAAATCAATGGGAAAGCTTGGGCCGAAGGAAGGAGGGGATACAAAGCTTGAAAGAGAGACAAAAATACTGAGATTGAGAAATGTGATGATGAATTAGCCAGATGAGCAAGGGCACCCTGACAGTTCATAACAGTTCAATTTCATAATGATAAAGTTACAAAATTTCTTTTAAGTGACAGGGTCTTGCTTTGACACTCAGGCTGGAGTGCAGTGGTGCAGGTACAGCTCACTGCAGTCATAAACTCCTTGGCTCAGGTGATCCTTCTGCCACAACCTCCTGAGTAGCTGGGACTACAGGTCCCACCACACCCAGCTCTGCCCTTGGTTTTATTCTTAACCTCTCATTTGCTCTAGCAAGTACACTAAACCATGGGTCCAGCCAACCCTCTAACATGCAGCAGACTTCAAGAGGGGAGAATCTTAGGGGTATTATTATATGCACAGTTAGGAACATGGATACAGAATCCAGCCTTATTTTTTATTTTTGAGACGGAGTTTCACTGTTGTTACCCAGGCTGGAGTGCAATGGCACGATCTCGGCTCACCGCAACCTCCCGCCTTCTGGGTTCAAGCAATGCTGCCTCAGCTTCCCGAGTAGCTGGAACTACAGGCATGCACTACCATGCCCAGCTAATTTTTGTATTTTTAGTAGAGACGGGGTTTCACCTCGTTGACCAGGATGGTCTCGATCTCTTGACCTCGTGATCCACCCGCCTCAGCCTCCCAAAGTGGTGGGATTATAGGCGTGAGCCACTGTGCCTGGCCCTAGAATCCAGCCTTACTTGATGGAATGCCATGCCTAAATTCTTACTCCTAGCTCCATTTGCCACCTAATGCCTACCTACTTCAGCCCTGGGCTGGTCTTAGTCTTTTTCCTTCTTCCCTCCCCTCCTCTCCCCTCCCCTCTGCTCCCCTTCCCTTCACTTCCTTTCTTCCCTTTCCCCTTTCCTTTCCTTTTCTCCTTCTTTTTTTTCTGTTTCTGTTTTTGAGACAGTTTCACTCTTATTGCCCAGGCTGAATTGCAATGATGCAATCTCAGCTTACGGCAACAATACTTTTTTTTAGTGTAATAAAAAATATATAACAAGCTGGGCGTGGTGGCTCACACCTGTAATCCCAGCACCTTGGGAGGACAAGGTAGGTGGATCACCTGAGGCCAGGAGTTCGAGACCAGCCTGGCCAACGTGGTGAAACCCTGTCTCTACTAAAAATACAAACATTAGCCGGGTGTGGTGGTGCACATCTGTAGTCCCAGCTATTCAGGAAGCTGAGGCACGAGAATTGCTTGAACCCAGGAAGTGGAGGTTGCAGTGAGCTGAGATCGTGCCACTGCATTCCAGCCTGGGTGATAGAGTGAGACTCCATCTCAAAAAATAAAGGGGCCAGGTGCGGTGGCTCATGCCTATAACCCCAGCACTTTGGAGGCCGAGGCAGGAGTTTAAGACCAGCCTGGCAAAGATGGTGAAACCTCGTCTCTACTAAAAGTATAAAAATTAGCTGAGCATGGTGGCAGGTGCCTGTAATCCCAGCTACTCCAGAGGCTGAGGCAGAGAATTGCTTGAACCCAGGAGGCAGAGGTTGCAGTGAGCCAAGATCATGCCATTGCACTCCAACCTGGGCAACACAGTGAGATCCCATCTCAAAGAAAAAATTAAAATTAAAAAATAATAAATAGAAGAAGTATATATATAACATTTGCCATTTAACCATGTTAAATATATAATTCACTGGCATTAATTACATTGACAGTGTCACACAACCATACTACATTCACATGTTTAATCGCTCCAAACAGAAACTCTACCCATTAAGCAATAACTCCCCATGCCTCCCTTCCGAGCACCTGATAACTGCTAATGTACTTTCTGTCTCTGAATCTGCCTATTCTAGATATTTCATATAAGTGGAATCATCAGTATTTATTCTATTATGTCTTGCTTATTTCACTTAATGTTTTCAAGGTTCATGTATCAATACACCTTTCTTTTTTATGGCTGAATAATATTCAGTTGTATTATTATTTTGTTTATCCCTTTTTGTTTTTTTTCTTTTTTTTGAGACAGGATCTTGCTCTGTCACCCAGGCTGGAGTACAGTGGCCTGACCATAGTTCACTGCAACCTCAGACTCCTGGGCTCAAGGGATCCTCCTGCTTCAGCCTCCTGAGTAGCTGGGACTGTAGGTGCTCAGAACCATGCCCGGCTAATTTTTTTGGTTTTTGTAGAGGTGGAGTCTTGCTTTGTTGCCCAGGCTGGTCTTGAACTTCTGGGCTCAATTAATCCTCCTGTCCCAGCTTCCCGAAGTGCTGGGATTACAGACATGAGCCACCATGTTCAGCTATCCATTCTTCACTGATAGACACTTAGGTGTCTATCAGATATTGTGAATAGTACGGCTTTCAGATATTGTGAATAGTATGGCTATGAACATTGGCGTACAATTATCTGCTTGAGTCCTGGTTTTGAATTCTATATACTTTTGGGTATATACCTAGGATAGAAATTGGTGAGTCACATGGTGTCTTAGTTTGCTTCATGGTGCTATAACAGAATACCTGAGGCTAGCTAGTTTATAATAAACAGAAATTTACTGGCTTACAGTGCTGGAGGCTTGGAAGTCCAATATCAAGGTGTAGGCATCTTGCAAGGGCCTTCTTTCTGTGTAATAACATGGCAGAAAGTAT